AGGGTGCCAGGGCCGTTGGGTTCTGGCGAGCGCCCTCTTGAGATGGGCGCCTTCTTGCTGTGTTGGCCATGGCAGAGAGAACGAGTATACAAGCTCTCTGCTGTCTCTTCAGATGAGGACACTAATCTCATCGTGCGGGTCCCACCCTGACGACCTCATCAACTCTGATCACCCCCCAAAGGCCCCATCTCCAGACACCATCACACTGGGGTGTAGGGCTTCAACATAGCCATTTTGGGGGGCACAATTTAGTTCATGGCTGGGCCTGGAGGTGAAATGTTTGATCGAGGGGATGAGTCAGGCATTGGGACTCTGTCTGCATGTATCTTAGGGACACCTGGTGTAAAGTCACACAGTCCTTGCCGGTCCCTTGGACAGCCTTTGAGTTGAGAGACCTTTAGGACTGGGTTTGGTCCCTGCTCAGACCTGGTAAAAATGTCTTTGCAAGAAGCTAGTAGCTTTTTTGAGCCTGGAAGGAGTGGGCTGGGTGGCCCAGGGGCCCTGATTTATCTTGTTCTCACCCACTACACAGGCCGTTGGCTGAACCAGGAAGGTGGAAGGTTCTTGGCCCTGCACTTGCCCTCTCCCTCCCCGAGGCAGGTGGGCTGCCAGGGCTTGCTGAGTGAACCGGGGGCCAGGCCTACACCCTCAGGAGGCAAGTCTTACGCCAACCCAAGCTAGAGGGAGGCGGACATGGTTGAAATCTTTTGGGGGGATTTCAAGACAAAATGCGCAAGACGGGAACGGTATCATGGAAGGGAGTGTGAAGTGGTAGGAGGCCTCCTTACAGGACCATGGGCTTGTGTTGGGCTTTGGAAATGTGTGGATGCGTTGGGAAGGTGTTCTTCTGGGGGATGGATTGTGCTCTGAGCTGGTCAGGGTAGACGTGGGAGGATACAGAATGATCTGGAAGGTGGGGTGGAGACTGAGCTGGAAGAGTCAACTAAATACCCAGTGAGTCCTTTCCAAGTGGCAAGGACCATGCTGGTTTTTGAAGGCAGGGTCTCATGAACCAGGCCGGGGGTTTCAGGCCAGCTCCCGAGAGGCCACAAGGAAGTTTGGTGCCATTCTGTGACATGAGGAAAGTGGCCCGGGAGGGAGGTGCTTCCTACTGCCCCAGGCTTCCCTCTTTTAGCCCCCCTCCCCAGCCTCCATCCCATCTCTCACCCGTAAGCAAGGAGAAATACACTCCAGGGTCTTTGCATAAGCCTTTGGTTAGTTCCTTCCACCCCCAAAGAGAAAAATGGCTTCCCAAACAATTAGGTATTTATTTTATCATCTCATTTGCGGTCCCAGGCTGATTTGTGGGTTTGGATTGCTGTTTCTTTCCTGAATCTCAACTGGATGGAGTAACAAGTGCTTTTCTTTAGCTTCTGTTTTGGCCAACAACTCATTTTGCAGTGCTTGCTTTGTGGCTGATGCCTCTCAGCAGAGGTTTGGGGTCAAGGCCATGATGAAATAGCAGAAGGACAAGGAAGCAAGCCGTGGTTTGTTTAGAAGGCTTTCCTGCCTGTGGTTGCTACCTTAGAAGCCGTGTGGTTGCTCGCGAGGAGAGGTGCAATGTAGCTGCTTGAAATCAGAAGTAATTCTGCTGAATTGGAGAAAAGGACTGGGCCGAAGGGGCAAACCCAGCTCAGGTCTGAGTTTCTACAGTCAGTTTGTCCTTCCTCGTAGGGCAGCTTAGCCGAGAGAAAGTCCAAGTTGTTTTTCTCTAGACTGTAAACTGATGTGGAACCCTGGAAAAAGTAGAAAATGGGTAGGATGATAGTCATTTCTACTGTGGTTGAGAGGGACATCGGTGTTTTCATTGTAGGACCATCAAACTGAACGCCCCTTGGACCAGTCTCTAATTCCTGTTGGCTCCCCTGACAACAGATGCCATCTGATTCCACCCCACTTAGGGATGCATACCTGTGCTTTCAGGAGATTGGATGCTAGTTGTAGGATTTGTCAAGGTGACAGATTCTTGGGTCTGTGTTTTTGCACTTTATCTGTTGATACCATGTGCTTGCATGTTAATTATTAGTGTTGATTAATCAGTGAAGCACTTCCAACCCCTAGCCTCAATGATCATCTAACCCACAGCACCAGTGGAATGATTCACCGATTTGTGCCTAGTGTTGTAAAAATGCAACATCATTGTGTCGGTCTTTATCCGTAGCCTCATGAAAGACCACAAAGTGGGGCAATGATTCTAGGACCAGAGGCCCCTCTCCTTGGCTTTGGGAGGGTTTGTGGATATTACCCAGGTAACTCTAAGCATGGCCTTCTCTCTTGCTGTCCCCTCCATATTACTAACAACTGGCCAGAACAGTCATACTGATCAAAGGAACCGACTTCCTTTTGAGCCATGTAGGGAAACAGAGTCCTATTCTTGGGTATTGGAGAGCATGGTTAGGCCAGGTCTCCATCTCCTTTCACATCCTCACCTCTCACTCTCCCGTCTTTCTTCTTTAGGGGACCCTATTATGGAGTTTATAAATACCTATGAATAAGTCAGACAGAACACCTTATTTAATCCACACAGCAGCCTTGCCAGGGAGGCATTCTTATCCCCATTCTGTGGCTCCGCGAGAGGCCCTGAGAATGACACACATGTCCCTACCCGATTGCTTTTGTTCCGGAGGCTCCTGCATTTTAATTCAGCTCCCAGGGCAGCCTGACCATCTTCCGAATGTAGGGAGCCTGGAGCTGGGGCCTTATCAAGCTCCGCCCAGTGCAGGGGGCTGGTCCTGGCCAAGTTGCTTCATCTTTCTGTGCCTCAGTAACCTGACCTAAGCAATGGGCATCCCACCACCAATCCCCAGAGATGGCGTGGGAGTTAAAGCACCTGGATAGCTGTCTTCAGGAGAGAACAGCTGACCGGGGCGGCTGCGGGGGCCGGGGTGTGTGGCTGGGTCTTGAGCGGAGTTCGGGGTCTTAGTTGAACGGAAACAGGCCCTTCCCCTCCTCTTGGCACCTCCGTCTTCCCACCAAGAAACAGACAATTAAAGAGTGAAACTTCATGACTAAACAGGAAGTTGCACCTCAGAAGGCCACAGACAAACCAGTTAGTCTGATGCTTTATAAATTCTCTGAACACTCTAGACGAGGAGCACAGAATGGAGACAGAGCCGGGCTGGCTTTCTGGGCACTGGCTGGCTGGTCTTAAGGGCATGGTCCCCGGGGTTCCCCCTAGATTTGGCTCACTGCTCCAAGCATGTGACCTTGGACCTGTACATGACCCCCGAAGCCTCCTCAGGGCGATTTGAATGGCTGTAGGTGGACAGAGGGAACACATCCTGGCCCTGAGGGCACCTTGGACCTGGTTTTTCCGGGAGTAACCACTGAGCCGATTGCTGTCCCTTGGAGGCCAACAGGCCCACCTGCTGTTGGGCAGAGACCAGGGGTCCCAGCACAGGGCCAGGGAGACAGGGGAGGGGCCAATGCAGTGATCGAGACAGGAGGCAGTAGAGGCTGCTGGTTTCCGGATATATTTTAAGGGTAAATCCAGAAGCATTTGCATATGGAGGGAAGTGGGCTGCGACCAAGATTGGCCTGAACAACCGGAAGAAGGGAGCCGGTTTCCTATGGTGGGAACAGGTGGTACAGGGCTACTGTTTAGGGGGGCCGTGGCGGGGGGAGCAAGGACTTCAGCCGTGTTCAGTTTGAGATGCCCAGTGGGCAGTTAGATGTCTGAGTCTGAAGTTCAAGGGTGAGGTCTGGGGCTGAAAACATTAGTTTGTCAGGATACAGGTGGTATTTTTAAGGCCCCGGGGGAACGGTCTGATAGTGCCTTGTGCTCTTGGGTTTAGAATAAGCCCGTGTGGAGTAGAGAGAGGGAAGTAGAGTGAGGAAGCTGCTATAGGGCAACAGGCATCCGGAATTTGGGGGAGTGGGCCTTTTTGCTTCAGGAGATGGCCTGAAATGCATGGTCCAAGCTGTGTTTGCAAAGGAGGAGAGGTGAGCTGATTGTTTTGTCCTGAGCCTAACCCCAGCCAAACCACGCTTGTTGGAACCCAGCGCTGGGGAGTTCAGGCCTGTAATTGCACAGGCTGGAAAGCTGGAAAGCTCTCACGCTGCAGTGTTCTCCGCCTTGAAGGGGACATTTCAGGGAGTCCGTGCTTTCCTTCAAGAGCATCCTGGTTTACCTACCGATGCTGATAAAGCTGCATCTAGTAAAAGTTGGATCACTCCCTGTAAGAAATGAATCCCAGGAATGGTTTCTAATTTCAGGCCCTCAAAATGGACCCTGGCCTTTGACTTTGGCCATTTAAAGGGGATCGTGAGAACAAGTGGTTTGAAAACTTTGACATGATATGGCTGGAGAGGGGAGCGTGTGGCTATTGAACTTGAAGAGAAAACGTGACCTAAGACAATGGCTTGTAATGTAGACTGCTCACGAGTCCTTTTTAAGGGCCTTCAGTGCTCGGACTGGGTAGGAGCTATAAAAACAGTAACTTTCTCTCTTCGTCGGTCTCATGAATTTGCATGCGCACTGAGGTTATAGCACATGTAAGAAGGTAACAGGGTTCAAATTCAGCATATATAAAAGCCTGAAGCAGGATGACTTTTGGGTAGATTTTTCATGAAATGCTGATTTTTCTCTGACTGCAGAAGCTAGCATTGTAAAATGTTCTCTCTTTGGTTGGCCCTGATTTGCAGCTCCAGGACATATAGGCGGCAGGGCTGTTTCCCGTAGCTTAGAAAAAAAGAAAACCCACCAAAACCTTGCTGATGCACTTTGAGCTCAGAGACCCTCATTTCTTTGCACCAAGTCCCTCCTCTCAGGGACCGTTAACACTGGTTTGGGGTTAATTCTGGCACAGTTGTTAAGGTGATACAGAATGTGGGCTTAAACTCCAGCCAGAGGGTTCAGTTCTGTCCTGGGTTCTGAGTGGCCCTCGGCTAAGGGATGATACTCATTAAATGGATGATGTTAACGTGAATTGGAAGCATAATAGAGGTCAAAGGTGATTTTTTTTTTTCTTCTCAAAAATGGTTTTGCAAATCTTTTTCAGAGCTGATAGACACACACCTTAGCTGGATACAAAACATATTATGAAACAGAATGACTGTGATCTTTGATCCGAGAAATCAAAGTTAAAGGTAATTGACATCTTCTGCTTCTCCTTTTGTTTTCCAGCTGTGTGTTTCCTTAACTTGAATTACTTGTAGTAGAAGAAAACTTTTCCAACCGTCCTCACAGACACCACTTCCTGCTCTTAAGGGCTGGACCCCACCGCTCTGTAAGGGGACATCCCTGGGGGACATCCCTGAGACTGGGAGGTTAGAGCATCAAGGTTGGGGTGGGGAGGTGGGGATGAGGCTCTGGAAATTTGCATGTTCTCCCAGAGGTCCCCCCTCCCAGGAAGAGCGCAGCTAGGTCACGTTCCTACATTTGAAAAGTCCTGCTCTGCAGTGGACCAGCTCCCTTTTGGTTTTGTGCAACTTTGCTCGGTGTATACGGTTAAGTAAGACTCTGCTGGAGGTGGGGCGCTCTGCACTGGGGAATGAGAGAAGGCAGGCAGAGCAGGAGAGCTGGGAAGCTACTCTTGAAGTCCGCTGTGCTTGGTTCAGGGTAGAGCTGGCTTTCCCATCGAGCTCAGCAGTGCCCCTGAGCTAGCCTCAAGCATTAGACCTCCCTCCATGGACTCTGGATTCTGGATTCTGGGCCTGCAGACAAGAGCCCGGGAGCTACGGCAGACTCCACAGCGCAGGGCTCAGGAGGCACCTGTGGGTCAGCGAGGCTTTGGCTCTTCTGCACCTCAATTCCCGGAGCCTCTGACGTTCTGCTTAGAATCCACGCTCGCAGTGGCCCAAGTGTGGTGAGCCCTCCCCCGAAGTCAGCCAGTGGTCTGGGGTGGGGGTGGGGGGCGGTTAGAGGCCTCCTGACCTCTCCCCGGCTCCCTGGGCTATGGCTTTTAAATGGCCCCTTTGTCAGAGAAAGGGGGCTCATTCCATCAAGGCCAGGCCCAGTGTGTTCGCATCACACTGGTGAATTTTAGGGCGTTTGCAGAGGCCCTGGGCGGGGAATCCCAGAATCACGTTGCCCAGAGGGTGGGCTCTGCAGAGATCCCAACCCTTCCCGGGAGCAGCACGAAAGGGGCCGTGGGGAAGGGGGTGCAGCTCTGGCACCTTCTCCAACAGGGACTATCGGACACTGTCCACAAAAGCAACGCTACCCTGAGCACATTTGCGGGACACCAGGTGCCAGACTCCCTCCCCACGAGTCAGGGTGACAAACAAGCAGCTGAGATGTCCGTGCGGAGACTATAAGCCACTTAACCAAAGTCCTTAAGGGCCTTTTGAATGTGTTTCTCCCCTCCCTGGTATTAGCACTTGGCTTACAGGGGGCCTGGGACCTTCGGCAAGCTGGCTCGGTGTCTTCAGGGCCCCAGGGGGATTTACCAACTTGTAATTTGCAGACCCCACCCACGCTTTGGGCTTCAGGCCTGGCAAGGTTGGTTTTTTTTGTCTTTTTCACTGAGCCTCTAACGTCTGGCCTGGCCCCTGTAGAAAGTTCTTCACTGTTCCCAAGTGCCCCTAGAGCAGGCAGCAATGGCTGCAAAGTTGCTTAGCAAGCAAGAAGCAGAGCCCTGGGAGAGTTTTGTTCTCAGAGGACAGATCATTTCAGTTTTGATACTGAAGTCACAGGAGAAGGCCCAAGGCCACCAGGCACCTTTCCTTCTTAGCCCCTTTCCACGTGCTAGTGAGGAAAACAGGCCTGGTGCTCACTCTTGGCGGTCCGAGCAGCTCTCCCCACAAGCAGCTGGGACAAGAGGCGGCAGTACCCAGGGCCCACTCCCGTGCTTTCTGGTCCAGCCTTCTCGCCCCAAGCCTGTGGGATGGGATGGGATGGGATGGGATGGGCTGGAGGAGAAGGGCAGTGGGGACGGGGGGGGAGCTGCACCCCTCCTGGCTTTAGCCTCTTTGGCCTTAGAGGATGCAGGCTGCCCCGTTCCCATCCAAGCTTGAGGAGTGTCTTTCTGGCTGTGGCCTCTGTGGCTGGCCCCAGACTCTCATGGGCACTCACATGATCTAACCAGATTTTAGAAAACATGCTTGAGGTTTGGGAGAGAAGCAGGATGGGGTCTGTCCACTCCTTCCTGTTGTTGCTTTCTTGGGGGATGAAGTTCCAAAGTCAGCACTTAAGGGGGAAAGGCCTAGAGTGAAAATGACTCTTAACAGACTTTTAACTTGCACCTACCATAGATCCGTGTGGTTTTCTCTATGCAACTCTGAGCAGCCATTCTTCCGCAAGGTGAAGCTTGAGAACCTCTGAGCTCAGCTGAAAGAAGGCAGTCAGCATGCAAGTGTCTGGCCCTTCAAGTGAATCAGAAAATTCCTAGGGCAGAGTGGGATGCTAACAGAAACCCAGGTTTTTAGAAATAAACACCTAGAATTGTTTGATGAACCCCACTCGTAGGAGGCATTGACCGCTGCAGTTGCCATGCCCCAAAAGTAGGTGAAGAAAAACACTGCTTTCCCGTTCATCTCTGCCCTTGGTATAGACTAGGGCTTGGTACACGAAGTCTCAGGCCATTTGGTAATTGGTCTGTTCACATCTGGCCCCCTGGCCTGGTATGGTCAAATAAAGTTTTATTGGCACACGGCCATGCCCACTGGCTCCCATGCGGTCTGTGGTGGCTTTCACAACAGCAGAGCTGAGGAGTTGAGTGAGGGGCCGTCTAGCCCATAGTGCTGGAAATATTTTTATCTGGCCCTTTGTAGAAAAAACCTTGGTGATCCCTCATGTATTCTTTTTATGCCTACAGCCATGTATTAGCATAGTTATATTTTTGTTATGCTACCAGTTTGATTTTTTGGAGTTTTAAAGAGAAAAATGTATAATTGTAATAATATTTATATCTGTCAATCTTTTCCTTTCTGGTTTCAGCCTCAGGTGTCAGGCTTAGAAATCACCCTGAGGTGGGACCCACATTCATCAGTGTTTTCAGCACAGTGCCTCGCTCTAAGGGTGATAAAAGGTCAGGGGTTCTTGTGGTAGAGTCAACACCATTGGCCTCAATTGTGTTCTGAGAAAGTGATACTTGGTGACCGCCTTAACCGCTCAGCACATGGCCTTCTCCACTGTTAACTTAGCAGAGGCTGTCCTTACCTTTTCTGGACACGCACACAAGGCACTGAGGACCCCAGGGCTACGGAGGAAAGGTGATGACTACTGAACTTAATAGCACAGTCTCTTTATCAATTGTGTAGCCATATAGTGTTCAGGTTAATATATGGGCCCTGAGTTCAAATTCTGATCCCGTCACCTGGTATGGCTGGTGACTGCCTATCTCCATCTATAAAACAAGGATTGTATTACTAGGTTTGGTATAAGAAAAACTTAGCGTTTATTACAGTGCTTGGAGCATGGTTAGCCTTCATTAAATATGAATGGCTTATATTCTTTTGTAGAGAAAAGGCTCCAGACAAGTAATAGACTGGCAACCCACTTGTTGATTGGGTGACAGAGGAAAATACACTCCCCCAAACCAAGTGACGTAGGCTGATGGTGTGGGATCCCTGTGGGGGGCTGAGACGCATGCATTAGCCACCTGCTGTGTGCATGGTGCTATGCATAGCGCCACAGGGATACGGGTAACTCAAATAACCTGGTCCAGGAGTTTGCAAGCAAAGCATTTCGAGAATTCAATATTCGCTTTTGGAGGGAGTGAGGGCCCGAGGGTGAGAGTGGGAGATGGCTTCCAGGAACAGGTGGCATTGGAACAGGGCAGGAGGGAAGTCAGGGTTGGGACAAGGAGAGGGGCTATTCGGAGAAATGCACATGGCCCAGTTTGAGAAGAGGTGGGAAGAAAGATACAGAGGTTGACATAGGATAGATGCTCCAAACATTTACTGAGTGAATGGAAGTCGAGGGCTGACCCACAACCCGGCACTCAGACCTCAATCAGAGCTAGGACCTGAGGCTACTTAACCCCTTGCTGAGCTTCCTTTTTCTCATTAAGTGTCAACGAGCATGTCCTAGGTCCTGAGGCCCTATTTAAAAGCTGAGGATTCAGTGGGGAATAAGAACATAACCAAAGCACTAGCTGGTCAATTGCAGGAACCAGTGACTGGAGAAGACAGAGGGAGAGTGTGACTGGGTGGGGCTGGGGTTTGCACTGCAGAGCACCCAGGCAGCCTTCCTGGAGGAGGGGGAGCAGAGCCTTGAGTGAAGGAGTGAGGAGAAAGGCATTAGAGGTGGTGGGGGAGGCAGCCAGGGCAGAGGCCTAGTGGGGTGCAGGTGAAAGCCCACGTGGCCAGCCAGCGGTGGGAGATGAGGGTGCAGGGAGCTCAGACCAGCTTGCAGGGCCTCGAAGAGAGCAAGTGGGGCCCAGAGCAGAGTTTTTGCATCAGGGACACCTTAAGAGGGGCAGAGCGAGGGAGTGAGACCAAAGCCCGAGAATGAGGTGCTACAGGGCTGAGTCTGGAGTCCCTCTTCCCCCTAAAGGACAGAAGCTAGGGCAAGACCAAGGGTGGGGTTCCATGGTGGGCCCCAGGGAATTGACTCAGAAGGCAGGGTGGCCTCGCTTACTCTTCCAATAGCTTTGGCTGTGAAGGGGAGACCTCCTACAGGCAGGACCCCGAGCTCTGGAGGAAGCGCTGGAGCAGAGACCCTCCAAGCTCCCAGACCCGTGGGGCTGCACTGCCCTGGCAGCTGCCCAGCTGGCTCTTCTGCTGTCGAACTCTCTCTCCTTGGTCACAGCCAGGGGAGCATGCTCTGAGGTTTCAGCAAGCGAAGGTTCCTCTACCCAGAGAGGTTTCTGCGGGGTTCGAGGCCTCCCCTGGGGGCCTGAGTGCGCAGCCGCCTCCCCGCCCCCCACCCCCAACCACATGAAGGGCTGAGTACAGTGTCCAGAGCTTTTCCAGATGCCACTATTAGCTTCGACCCAGAGGTCGCTTTCAGAGAGCAGGAGGGGAAGGCCGCGTGGGCCTGCTGGCCGCGGCTCCTACCTTCCGTCCCCTCCCCGGCCCCGGCCTCTGCCTTCTGAGAAGGGAAACGAGCCTTCAGTGAGGGCTGGGGTGTCCACATGGCTGCCTCCCAGGTAGCTGTAGAAAGCCGGGGCGATGGAAAGTTTCCCGTTAGGATCGACTCCTCTGGTTTCCTAGATTGAGAAAACAGGAAGCCCTTCAGAATCCGGGCTTTGAAAAGCTCCATGTGAAGCCACGCTGCTCCCCCCTCCCCCCCGCAAACCCTGGCATTCGGCTTTCCCTGCTGCCTCCCTGCCCGCCGCACAAAGGCCTCGCGGTGGACCAGGCCCTGGGCGGGGGTGGCGGGGGGAGGGGGTGTGGGGGTGGGGTGCCCCAGGGCGGGTCTTAGGGCGGCCGTTCTTCCTGGGGTTCCTGCCTGAGGGCCCCTTGGAGTCAGCTAGGCTGGTGCCTGGTATACAGTAAGTGCCCAATGGATGTCGGTCCGCTGACTATGACTTCATCCTGGGAGTTGCTCCTGATGGACGCCCTCACACAGGCGCCCGTGCTCCTAGACGCACCCACCCCTTGGCACGTCGAAGGCGAGTATCGAAGGCGCCCCATGCTGCGAACGGCTGCCCTATGCCAGCCTTGTCTTCTCCGGGCTCCTCCGCACCCCTGGAAGCACGGGGACCGTTGTATGCACGGTTTACAGATGGGGAGGCTGAGGCAAGGGCCAGCAAGCGAGGAGGCGGTAGAGGGGGGACTCGAACCCTGGCCAGCGGGCTCCGGCGCCCCAACTGCCCCTCGTGTCGGAACCGCCCAGAGCGGTGCTTGGCGGGTGTCCGGCGCGGAGCCCTCGGGCACAGTCGCACCAGAGCCTGGCGCTCGCGGCCCCACAGGCCACAGCCACTGAGCACCGTTTCCCGGCGGGCACGAGGAGCTTGCACGGACCTCAGTGGCGCCCAGGGACCGAACGGGACACACGCTTGTTTCCTCCTCCACGAGGTGGAAGGCACGAGGCCCAGGGAGGTAAAGTCACGGCGCCCTTGGAGCGAGTGGGCCGAGGAGCAGACGCGCCGCCTGCTCTAAGGCCACTGGCGTTTGTGCTCCTCCTCCTAGGGGGCTGGGGGGCTCCCTCCCGCGGGGGTTTCTGGGAAAAGCACACTGGACCTCGGAGGGCTCGGCTTGAACATGGGGAGAGTTTGAGATGAGCACATCTCAATAGTTAGAGGTGGAAAGGCAAGGCAAAGATGAAACACCCAGTATGAGGAGGCTGGGGCAGGACAGTGGGAGAACTTGGGAGACCTTCCGTGGCACCCAGAAGGGGTCTCCCTCCTCTCCTGCCCCTGGGACCAGTCAACCCATCCCATGCACAAACCGGGGTGGATACACACCTTAGGGCGGGTGTGCCCCTCTGCCTCGGGTCTGGGCTGCCACCGAGAGCAACTTCTACCAAGAAAGCCGAAGGAAACCTTTGTGCCACCCGCCCCCCCCCCCCCAAAGACCTCACCGCCTTGCTTACAGGGACCACGGCCCTGGATAAGGGGCCAAGATGGGAGAAGACAGCCAGCTTCTTGATGCCAGGGGCTGGCATCCCATTCCTGGTTCCCTGCTAGGAATTACACGGTCCTTCTGGGGGAGGGGATGGCCGAATTTTCCAGACCCCCTCGAAGGACATTTTCCACTTCTGAAGTCTCACAGTGTGATCCTTCACTAGTGTGTGGGGGGAATTCCTGGTTGTGCTGAGAGAGATTTTGTCTACACTGATGGTTAGTCTTTGAGGTATTCCCATGTGCTCTTTTGAAAGGTCCCTCTTCTGAGAACTGTACGCTCTGTGGGTCAACTATGGTTGAGTCATGTAGTAGGTATTTTCTGGATGCTATAATAGTGGAAGGAGTTTGGTAGCAGAGAGAGCATCCTTAGCACCTGCCCTCTGGCCCAGCGCTGTTTCTGCCACGATTTTTAAAGTTACCTTCACAAACACCTCTAGCACAAAATAGTCTCATCCAGAAAAGAGAGCAGAGGAAGACATTTCGTAGAACAAGAGCGTGTTTTACAAGACAGCCCCATTGTTTAGGTTCTAGAAAGCTAAGCTGATCTGTGTTGTTGGTGCCCGCTCACTCGCCCCTTCTCTCTCTCTCTTTCTCTTTCTCTGTTCTTTTGTAGTTAATGAAATTATCAGGAAGGAGTTTTCAGGACCTCCCGCCAGAAATCAGACGTAGAAGATGCCATTAGCAAGACACCTTCCGTATCTGACCCCTTGGAGCCTTCCACTGCCCTCACCTTCTGTTTCCTTTACTGTACATCTCCTGGCCCGGAGGCCACGCGCGGGACAAGGTCCTGGCAGAAAGCTGACTCTCGATTAAGGAGCTCGCCACCTCTCTGTGTAAACACCAGAGAGAACACTCTGCCTTTTGATTTTTGTTTTAAATCCCAGAGAGCATCTCGGTTGACTTTCCTGGTGTCCCATCCAAAAACCTTAAGTGCCTGCTGACCAAACACACAAGACAGCACGCTGGATCGGCCCTGAGAACGGAGTGACCAGAGCTTGGGGCGTGGGCTGGGCTGGGGGATGGAAGATGTGGGCCCCTGTGATTAAACCCCAGCCCTGCGTTCATTTTTCCAGGTCACAGATACAGCTCCTGTACCTTTTGAAGGAAAGGAGTTTTCAAACAGAGCCACCCAAGGAACGTGACCCGAGCGAGCCTGGCTTCCGGGCTGAAGAAAAAAAAACCCAGAAGCCGGACCGTCCTCCTTAGGGACCACCTAGTCCCGGCCACGGTCAGGCCACAGCTCCCGCCTTATTGGTCAGTTTTCTCATTCTGAAGCAAGACTGTCTGGCCCACACAAGATGACCCGTTAAAACTCAGCGTTAAGTTATGACATGTGTCCACATTTGTTATTTTTGTCTCCGCTTCAAAAAGCCGGCCCAAGGCAGCTGGAGAGGGGGAAGCTCTCTGGGCCCGCTGCTCTCCACCCCTGCAGGGAGCGGCGGGACTGGGGCAGGGACCCCAGGCTGCGGCGTGAGCACCCGGCCGCTGCAGGCCTGCAACCCAATGGCTTTCGGCTAGTCTCGCTTGCTTGCTTCCTCGCGGCCGGCGCACTTTCCCATCAACTGGTGAAGAAGAATCTCAAGCATGTGCATTGAATTTTGAGAAGGAATCCTGGAAGAGCTACAGCAACCAAAGGAAAAAAAGAAACCACGTAAACAGCGCAGGTGTTTTTGTGAAGTGGGAAACGAGGCGATCGATGGGCAGGCCTAAGTGTTTCTCTAAGTGGGTTCCCCCACGACAAGGGTTAAACTCCCTCTCTGGCCTAGACTCTGAGTGGGACAACAAGCTCAGGCTTTGGCCCTAAAGTTGTGATTTTTGTTTGTTTGTTTTTAACCTGAACCCATTTTAAGCGCCCCTCCGTCCCAAAAGACATGTCTGCATTAACTGCTTCATCCGCCTCGAAGAGAACCTACCCACGCGCCTGCCTCCGTTGGAAGGAGCTCTGCCCAGACCGGCCGTATGGTGGTTTTCTGCCCAGGTGTCTCTACTGTGCACACCGAGTCCTCAAGAGTCTTCCTCCTCTGGTGCAGTTTCTGCAAACACCTAAAACTCTCAAAGGTCTCGGCTGGGGAGTTTTCCGTCACACAGATGTGTTCCTGTTGGCCTTTATTGTGGACACCCTGGGACAAGCCAGAGATTCATTTTCAGCCATTTAGTTTCTTCCCCCAGTAATCCACACAGGATGTAAATATTCCTGGCCCTCTTCGAAAGGCTCTTCGTAGGGATTTCTCAGTCAACTCTGCTAGGTAGAAGCCGAGGAAGAGAATCATGGCCGTTAAGGGCTCGCTGTGGGTTTTCTGAGTCCTGGCTTCCTTGACAAGGTGACCCAGAGGTTAAATCTTCCCCACAGCTTGGCCAGGAGCCTGAGGCTTGGCGGCTATGGCCCGGAGGGTCTGGTGCTCCAGAGAGTGGGAGAGAAAGCCCAGGGTGTGACCTTTCAGTGGAGACCTAGCATTTAGCTTCCCCAACAACTGGGGACCTCTCTTCAAGCCCAAAGTTTGGCAAAATGCTCTTCTCTACAACATGCCAGTGAGAGCTTGACTACTGCTGCAGAGCTTCTGGGATGTGAAATTCTCCCTCATTAGTAAAAAGATTCCTTGTACCAGCAGCTTTACCTAAAGGATTTTCTCTCCAGCAAAATTGACTTCACGGGGGGAAGAGTTAAAGTGTTTGGTTAGTGATCTGTTCTCACTTGACTGGCTGGGAACCTTAACCTTTTTTTTTTTTTTTTTTTTTGCACATGAGGGAATTTGGCCTTTCCTCAGTTATCTGAATGTTTTACCCAAGTGCCTTCCTGCTATTGTAGCAAAGTCTCTCTGCTTCGTTGTGCCTGGATGGGGAGAACAAGGGCTAACGTGTTTTCCATCGATCTTCCATCTCTGTCAGGGCAAAGGGCCTCCCGCTAGGTTCAGACTCCTGTACGTACGTGTGTGTGTGTGTGTGTGTAACGCACACGCGAGCTTTTTCTAAGACCTCCTAGCTGGATATTAGAGGAAGCACTTTCATAAACAACTATACCAAATAACAAAGGAAAGAGAAACCAAAGCATTAGTTTTGAGACCGAAACAGGCGAGAGAATGTGTATTAGGAACGGACAGTGATCAAGAAAGTTTGGTCCGTAACAAATGCCAGGAGGCAATTTTGCCAAGAGGAATTGCTCATGAAATATTTTCAGTCTGGGAAGAGGCAATAAGATCCTCTGAGAGAAGGAGAAAAATAAGGATGTCTAAGTGGTAAAGATGTGTGTGTGTTGCACGTGATCGAAGGATCTCAGGTCGAGGTTTGCACTTGCTACATCCAAGGTAAATATGTAGCACGACCAACAGGAATCTGCCCGTGTTGCTGAATGTAGTAGATCTCCCAAGTCTGCAAGTCTTCCCGTATTGTACAAAAATACTGCTGCTTGATAATATATAAGAGCGATCCAAATTAGCAGGTTATTAAATTTTATTTTCTTATCTGTATGTTTATGCTTTTTATCTGTCCTGAAAATATCACACCCCACCCCCTGTTAGAATTAGAAACTATTTATAAATGGTTGAAATCTTTTTCAAGTGTTTCTTTTTACATATGTTGTTGATTTTTCCCCCCTAAGGGAAATGATGTATTCTTGAAATTGTGTGATTCATGCTAGCAAAAAAACAAAACAAACGAAAACCAAACCAAAAGAAAAACCAAAAACCCACCTCCGAGTCTGTCAGCCACCTGAGTCTTAGAAGAGAGCGTCTCTGGAGACAGAGGGATGGTTTTGTGGAAGAAGGAACGCTCTCATGGTTGCTTAAGAGGACATGGACTTCAGCTCTGAGCCTTCGTCTGGTCACAGAGGAGAATTGTAAAGTGTTGAGATCCCCCAAAGCAGTAGCCTAGGAGGTGATTTTGATTTAAAAACAAAACTGCCTGTGTTGTAATGGGATTCTGGAAGAGTTCATGTTCCCGTTCATAGAACCCTCAGTGCAGGCTCATGTTTACAGAGCTGACCAAATCCTGGTAGATAACCCCTCGTACACATTATTCAAAGGACCTGCAGAGTTTTCCAGCAGAGACGCACCCTAGATGAATCGGGTTGATTTCTTCTAGAAGCTGGGAAACACTGATGTGGCCTTTCTTGTTTACATCCAGGAGCCAAGACGTCGGTCTCTGGAAGCCAGCCTTGGCCAGTGTGGGAGCGGTCACATTTAGACAGATTGGAAGCTGATGTGTTCTGGTTGTCACTTGGAAATAAAGGGAAGGCTGAATGTGTTTATTTTCATGTCAAACACTTTCCAAGTGCTTTCTATTGTTTGGAATTCAAAGTCTGTCAGAGGTCCGCTTAACGGTTTTGTTCGCGTTTACAAGAGGCATGGGGGTTGTGACGTTCTTGACAAGCTGGGGTAAACTTTCCCGCACCATTTTTTGGAGGGATAACCCTTTAGCAGGTACCCAACACCTCCTAACCTCCCTCAGAGATGGTCCCTAAGCAAGCCCCTCTGAAAAGGAGATGGGGTGCTGGGAAAAAGACACTGAACACTCGGCCTTGATGCATCTTGATGCAGACCAAACACCTGCCTGGCTCAGGGTTTGGATGCACTGGATGCATTGGATGCAAAGCCGTGTCCAGCAGAGCAGGTCCTTTCAGCATCGTGATTGGTGTAAGCAGACAGAGGCTGTGGTTAGGACAAGCTTAGCATCCCGAGCATCTTGTCAAAGAACCTTACTCCTTTTGCCTCTACAGCCCTCACAGGGGAGAAAATGTTGACAATGCCCTAATGAGTTCTCCAACGAATAGAATGTTCTCCAACAGGGTGGTGCTGGAAGGCTTAGGTTTTGAAAATCTTGACTGTTAAAGAAGTTTGAATACATCACATTCCTATGCAAAACGTTTTTAATCTCCAGTTTAATGTAGTTTATTTTTGCTATATGTAAAGTATTTTTATACGGCTTGTATCATGATAGTTTAGCAATAAAACAGTTGAAAGAAAGCAGTGGCTACCTTGTATCTTTTCTTGTCTAGAGAGGCTGCTCAAATTTCCCCTTGACAGCTTGAGTTCATATAAGCAGCTTTGGTGTGGGTACATATACCCTGAATGCCTTCAATCCTCGCCTCAGTCCTAGGAGGTAGACACTCTCCGTTTCATATCTAACATTAGGGCTCAGAAGCCACTTGCCCCAAGCGACAGAGCCACGAGGTCATCCTGGATTTGTCCGTTTCTCTCCCTCTCCCATCATAAATGCTCCGCTATAATCGGTCTCTACACCTGTTTAGAAGCAGCATCTACGTCCAGATTTAGAATGTCCACCTTGGGCCAGATCATGGAAGCTTTCAGAGCATTCAGAGCCAGCTGGGTTGAGCTGGTCACTTGAAAGGAAAAGCAGTTCTTTGCCTGAACATTTTACACAATTAAAAAAAAAAAAAAGTCTCTTTTACCAAACCCACCAACAGAATTAGATATTGTAAATACTAGAACTTTCCAGCTGGCTTCCTCCTTACAACAGCTTCCCCACCCCCACCCCCCCTGCCCGGGTGCTTTAGCTATTCAGAGGTTTGGAAGTAATCACTATTTAAGTCTTAATATTGTTCCAACTTCATCCACTGGTCAGCACTGCCCTTAAGCCCCGGGGAAGCCGGATCCCCGCCCCTGCTTCACGACCACTCTACCACACCATGGCCCTGCCTTGGGATGCCTTCCTGGGGCCTTTCCAAGCCCCCCTTCCAGGGTCTGGAAGCAGCAGTACCATATGGGTGCAGCGTCCCAAGCACACACAGGGCCCTGCATGGGTTCTGGCTACTGGGACCCGTGGTCCCCTCTAGTGGCTAGGACCAGCTGGTTCCCATTTCTGCCCTTCAGAGCACAAGGTCAACCAGATGCCCCAAAGAGCTCTAGAACCCACACCTATGGGGGTCCAACCTGGTTTCCAGAAGAGCTTTGTTGCGAAGAGTTTAAATTTTTTGGTGGGATCATGTGGAACTGGGTCACCAGAATGGTGCTGAAACATTGATTTGAGGAAGTCCCAAATTGCTTATGTAGACAGGATCCGCATAAAAATCATTTCCCCAGGCCCACACACTCTATGGGCAATTCTGCCCCCTTACAGTTTTTGCTGTAGCTGTGTATGCCGGTTGGGTTTAAATGAACTTTATGAAAACTTATGCTGCTTTTCCTGAATAGAAACTCAATCACCTTAGGCAGAGGACAAGGTTAAAACTATACAGCCATTTAAAAAATAAGTCTGTGTTCTATGTTTATATCTGACTCACACTTGGGAAACACAAGTCAACCTGTGCCTCGGTTTCCCTAGATGTAAAAGGGTAAGAATAGTCCCTGCATCATAGGCATTGTTAACATTGTTAACGATAATTAGCTATTGATACAATATCCAATCATCTGGCAAATTTAAGATTCACCTAAAGCTGGACCTCATTTTCCTAATATCGGGAAGGAAGCATTCCGAGCTCTGACAATAGGTCTCAAACTTTTCACACAAAATTGTTAAGGCCAAAAACTTGAGCTTATCCAATATTCAAACCCTGAAACAAAAGGGAAACTCACGGGGGCATCGAACTTCTCTGCAGCAGGGTAACTTAGCAAATCTGTGAACGTCTCCTGCTACATGCAACAGCATGATGTAGTTTTGTACTAAGGAGTAAAAACACAACACTCGTTTAGTAACAAGTGGGAATATGAAGAAGCAGCAAGACAAGAGCAAATGAAATGCTAACTACTACATTTTCAGGTTCCTAAATTGGAAGGAAACTGATTTCTTGGCAGGAGCAGGTTGAATATGAACTAATCCTGGGAAGGAGGCTTAAGCCAGGGACCATTAAGAAATGAAGGCCAGACTTCTGGGGAAGATGGCAGAGCAGGAGGACCCTAAGTTCGCCTCGTCCCACTGATAGAACAAGGCAACTGCCGCATCGGGGTAAATAACCCAGAAAACGACACCGAGAGGGGCAAAAGAGACTGCACAGCTAAAGGTAGAGAAGGGGCCACGTCAAAGAGGGTGAGAAGGGCAGGGACGCAGTTGGGAGCTAAATGGACCCACAGGACTGTCCACCAGAGGGATGCCACAGGTGCAGAGAGGGGAGAGAAACAGACTCTCAGACTAGGAGGCCTCCATGAGAAAGGCAAATCCCCATACCATTTGGCTTTGAAAACTGGAGGGGCCAAATTTCAGGAGTTCTTACAATCCCCTGGGCTTAAAACCTAGAACTTTAAAAATCAACAGGCTCTGGGAGAGCTGGGAGGAGAGAGGAAGCTGAGTCCTTGCCCTTAAAGAGACAGCACAACAAACCAGCCTTTGGACATATAGAAGCAGCAGTTTGAAAATTGCCTGTGTTCTATGGGAGGGATATCTGTTTACTAATCTCAGAGCTGGTGCTGGAGAAACAGAGACTCTTCTTCAGGAACAGGGGAGCTGGTGGGTGCCATTTCCCTCCCCCTGCCCCCGAGCCTAGACACCTATGGGAAACAGCAAGGCCACAACAATGCCTACTTAACTTGCTAACAGTGTGCCCTGCCCCTGCATCCTCCTGCAGACACATCCCTTCTACCAGGCCTCTGCCCTAGGTCTCCTCCCGCAGCAGACTCCTGCAAACCTTGCTTCCCGCCCCCCACCTGCTTCTGGGGATCTGCCCCCTCCAGCGCAGCCTGCCGCCACTGGGGGCTACAGGTCCCCTCCCACTGGTGTGGACCTTGCTGTCACTGCATGCCCTGCCCCCACATTCTCTTGCGGTTCAGTGTGACTACATCTCCAGCAAACACCTGGTCTGACTCGAGCCCAGCATGGCCCCAGACTGGTCCACTAATAAGACAGGTACCAAACCCCACCCACAACAGGCGAACAGAGCCATTGCAGATGACTGGACTGAAGGCGAAAGCAGCTCAGCCACAGTAGGGCACATGCAACACACATGGGAGACACCCCAGAAGCACCAAGTTCTGGTGAACAGGGAACACTGCACTGCAGGGCACTTACAGGACCTCTTTTTCATGAAGCCACTACTTGCAGGAGTAGGGGACCTTTGACCTTGACTTTACTAACACATAGAAACAGGGGCACCTGGGGGGCTCAGTCAGTTAAGTATCTGACTCTTGATTTTGGCTTAGGTCACGATCCCAGGGTCGTGGGATTGGGCCCCACATCGGGCTCCACACTCAGCAGGGAGTCTGCTTGAGATTCTCTCTCCCTCTTCCTCTGCTCTTCCCCCTGCTCTCTTTCTAGAAATAAATACATAAATCTTTTTTAAAAAAGAAAAGAAATGACAGAGTTTGACAAGATGAGGAGACAGAGGAATAGGTCTCAAATGAAAGAACAAGGCAAAACACAGCAAGAGACTAAATGAAATGAAGATCAGTAATAGCCTGATAGAGAATTTAAAGTAATGGTAAAAAAAATACTGGATTTGAGAAAAGCGTGGAGGACCTGTGAGACCCCTAACAAGGAGACAGAAAACAAAGAACCAATCAGAGATGAAGAACTCAATAACTAAACTGAAAATACACTAGAGGGAATAAATGGTATACTAGAGGAAGGAGAAGAATGGATCAGTGACCTGGAGGACAGACTAATGGAAAGCAATCAAGCTGAATAGAAGAGAGAAAAATAATAAGTGAAAATAGACTTAGGAAATTTAGCAACACATTTAGGTATAATAACATTCACATTATAGGGATCCCAGAAGGAGAAAAGAGAAAAGGGGGCATAAAACTTATTTGAAGAAATAATAGCTGAAAATTTCCCAAATCTGGGGAAGGAAACAGAAATCCAGATCCAGGAGGCACAGAGATCCCCCAACAAAATCAACCCAGGGAGGTCCACACCAAGACACACACTAATTAAAATGGCAAAAAGTAGAGATAAAGAGAATTTTAAAAGCAGCAAGAGAAAAGAAAGCACTCAGATACAAGGGGAACCCCATGACGCTATCAGCTGATATTTGAGCAGAAACTCTGCAGGCCAGAAGGGAGTGGCAGGATATATTCAAAGTGCTGAAAGGGAAAAATTGGCAGCCAAGAGTACTCTCGCAAGCAAGGCTACCACTCAGAATAGAAAGAGAGATAAGAGTTTCCCAAACATAAAGGAATTCATGACCACTAAACCAGCCCTACAAGAAATGTTAAAGGGGACTCTTTGAGTGGAAAGGAAAAACCGTAAGTAGGAATAAGAACAGTAGGAAACACAGAAGCAGTAAAATCAAGTATATCTATAAAAACCAGGGGATCCGCAAAATAAAAGGGCACAAAGTATGACACCATAAACCTAAAATGTGGAGGGGAGAGGAGTAAAGGATGGGTTCAAACTTAAGTAACCATTAATTTAATATAGACTGCTATATGCAGAAGATGTTATATACAAACCTAATTATAACCACAAATCAAAAACTAGTAATAGATATGCAAAGAACAAAAAGAAAGAACCCAAGTATGCCACTAAAGAAAACCAGCAGACTGTGAGAGAAGAAAGCAAGAGAAGGAACAGAGAAGAACTATAAAAACAACCACAACACAGGGTGCCTGGGTGGCTCAGTTGGTTGAGCAACTGCCTTCGGCTCAGGTCATGATCCTGAAGTCCCAGGATCGAGTCCCATGTCGGGCTCCCTGCTTGGTGGGGAGTCTGCTTCTCCCTCTGACCCTTTCCCCTCTCATGCTCTCTCTCACTCTTTCTCTCTCCAATAAATGAATAAAATCTTTAAAAAAAAAAAACAAACACCATAACACAAATAACAAAATGGCAATAAATAAATATCTGTCAATGATTACTTTGAAAATAAATGGAATAAATGTTCCAATATAAACACATAGGGTGACTGAATGGATTAAAACAAGAACAAGACCCCCATCTATATGTTGCCTACAAGAGACTCATT